GAAATGTGATTAGCGTTTGTTGAAAAGCTATTGGGAATATCACCTCCCAAATAAGATTTGTACATTGCTAATTGAAGATGATTTGGTTGTTATATCATTTTGGTGATATAAACAATCATCTTAACAATGAAATACAGTTAGAATGATATATGTGAGTATACATTTTGAGATTGATTGAAGGTGTTATTTTTACATAACACTCTAGTAATAGGGTATCGTAGAGGTATCTTTATTTATTATGTAATTTAGATGAATGGAATGAATATAGTTGGAGTTCAATTGTGCTTGTAACTCTATACTGATAGTTATGTGTGGCACAAATTATGAGAACAAAGAAATTTGTGGTCTAACACAATTAATTTAACTATGGGCATGTGATGAGAATCAAGGAAGACCCATTAAAGACAAAGACTTGAATGCATTGGAAGAACTTCAAGAACCAATGACAAGGGTAAGGGCAAAAAGAATAAATGGGGACTTAGAAAATATTATTGCTGTCTTATTTGAAAGGGAGCTTAATTTAGAGTTAGGAAAGCCCAAGATAATCAATTACATATGCTTAGAGGATTTGAACTCTAACGAGTTTTATTAGGATTTAATTATTATGTTTAGTTTATTTATTTTAATATTAGTCATTACTTATTTTGAGTTTTTTTATTTAGGATAAAATCTTGTTATTTTATTTAGTTTATTTGAATTTAGGCTTGTTGGTACAAGAAGCCCATTAGGGTTTGCGTTAGTATTAGTTTACAAGCATTAGACATATATAAGCTCTTGTAAACACACTTTTAATTAGTTTTTGAATACAATTTGAGATTGAATACTCTTGTGAGAGTGTGTGACTCTAGGTTCGTAAGTGAGCCAATTTTCTTTGATCTTATCAAGAGGCCAAGACTCTTGTAGCAATCGTTCCTTGGCTTATCAATTTTGCGATTGTGGCGCCATTTTTCATCTCTATTCTGTTTTCACTTTTTATTAATTTTCTTCTTATTTCAATTCCTATTTGTGCCCTAATAATTTTATTTTTTTTTATTGTGTGAAATTCAATTCAAAGTTGTTTAATTCGGCGACACGATTTGTGGTTGTCATCAGCATGCGATAGATTTTCATGGATCACACTAACACATCTTGGTATGTTACACCCATAATAAACATATGGTGCCATGTATGTAACTTACACTTGACACCTTTGGGCTTCACTCATTTAAACTTTTGCTTGACCATTGTGTGTACAAAATATTCCACCAATCTACCATACGTGCAGTTCACCAACAAAGTTATAGCATATTTTGTCTTTGACAAGTGACAAGTTCGTTGTCATGTGGTCATATATACAATTATGGTTATCGTGTGTCAAACTTCACTTATCTTTTGGAGTGTTATGAATTCATCTTGCAACATAAGGGGGCTTGTTTCTCAAAATTTTATCAAGTTTTTATCAAACACAAACTTAGATGGGATATAACTACATAAGAGTGAAAAATAAAAATATAACATCGTTTCTAAGTAAAAAATATATTTTATACACCTAAAAATAATAAATACATATCTACTTACCTAATTTCAAAAGTTGTTGCTTTAATTTTTTATTTTTGAGAATAAGGAGGTTGCCACCCTAAGTGAGAATTTGGCAATAGTAGATTCTATACACATGTGTCAATATGATATAATACAAAATTCAACTTTTTGGGTAACATATTGTCAAATTAAACCTAAGAACCCTGACCAAGCATACTATGTCTCCCTTTCCACAATTGCAAATGCAATTATTACCATCTTGGGTTGTTGCAATTAGAATTGTTCTTTGGTATTTTCCATATAGAAAGTTACATCACTTTGTCTAATTGGTTTGCCGAAATTAAAGGCATCAAAATATTGCTTGAATGCCTAAAATACTCAAAAAAAATTGTCTATATTGAGAATCAACTTTATTTGAATGATGCAATCATCTTGATAACATTGCATAAGACTCATCCCAATGAATACATGACCAGTTGATTTTTTTTTTTTGCCTTCTATACCTTTTTATATGATACTTTATAACCATATAAGCTATCAATCCTTTCTTGTGTTAATTCAATGGTGATTGATAGTTCTTGACTTATCATCCTTTAGCAAATATAATAAATCAATACAGTAAAATTAAATAGTACAATTACTATAATTTAATATTTAATTTCAATAAAAGTATATATAATAATTTAAACATATTAAAATAACAAATTCAATTAAAACATACCTAAGATGCATGAACAAATAAATTCTAATCAAAATTGATATGATCTTACAACATCACGATATTTATACAATTATGTCAACCATTGTATTTACTAACAACCTACATGTTTAATTTTATTTTTTTTTGGAGAGGTGAGCCTGCACTTTTTCATAAGCAACCAATAACATTATTTTGACATTTCACATCTAAATTAATTGACTTTAATTGAATTACAAAAAATGATTGATGAATCTTCATTATCCACTTTCCAAGAATGAACTAAATTTGATTTTACAAATTTTATTTCTTCACCAAAATGATCCTAAATAATGTATTGATAATGTTGACAATCATTCCAAAATACACTTTGATCTTATTTGTTAATATAACAATACTATGTAAAATATTTACTTAATTTAACTTATAAATGTATTATTCACATAAATATTAATTAACCTTATTTTTGCAAATTACCAAACAAAATTGGAGTACTAATTTCACTTAATTGAACAATTAAATCAAGGCCACTTTTAATATCAGTTTCATTTTCATTGCCATGAAAAATTTTACCATCATCAACATCATCATCTCTTGTTTATACTATATTTAGTAAATTATAATTAAAGTTATCATCATTAAACATTTTCATTATCACATATTTAAAAATTATTATATTTTTCTTCATGACATATAAAAGAATTACTAGTCACATTTAATTTGAAATAATTTTATTTTTTCTTAATTTTAATTTATAATTAATTTTTTTGCTTAAATTTATAGTAACTAATATTACATTTTATTTATATTATTTTTTATTTCTTTCAAACATTAAACGTTTTATTTCTTTATAAATTTTTTCATTTTTAATAATTTTTCTATTCTTTAAATACTATTTAATTAAAATACATTAACAATTAACCTATTTAAATACTTTTATCAACAAAATTAAAATACTTAAAAATATATATACTAATATTTCATTATGTTAGAAAAAAATTAAAATAAAAACAATTACAAAATATGAGTTAAATAAATTTCACTAATAACAAAATAAATGTATAAATTTAAAATACAAAAAAAAAAAAATGCATATTTGTAAACTTCCATAGCATGTATTTATATTACATTTATGCATAAAATGAAAAGGCACAATTATTCAAATCAAGATATGTTACACCATCATGAGGAGAGATACCTTTTCAACTAAAATAATACATTGAAGCTTGACATGTGATAACATGATAATAAAGCAGCGTTTGGTTACCGTTCCTGGACACTAGAGACAAAGACACTGAGACAATAAGGATAGCGACACTATTGTCTCCTTTTTTTTTTTTTTTTTTTACAAGTTTACCCTCTTTGTCTCTGGAGTTGAGACGCTAGTGTCTATTTTTTCAGGAAGTACACTGGTATCCTTCAAATTTGTGTCCCATGTATCCTTTGTATCTTTGTCTCTCCAGCAAGACACTAGTCAAACATAATACGCGTACCTCTGTGTCTCTGTCTCAGTGTCTCTGTCCCGCAACCAAACGCTGCCTAAGCATGTCCTGTAGGCAGGGACACAGACACCTATAGGTGGCATTTGAAGATAAAAGGACATGGATAAGGAAGTATAGGAAGGGACACAAATTACACAAATTTTGTATTCCTTTAAAGACAAGATACACAGGTGAGATTAATATGGATATAGTGACAAATTGACTAAAATACCTTGAGTTATATTTGAAAATGACACCCATTTGTCCTTATACCCTAAACTTAACCTTGAGGCTATATTGTGTATTGGTCTTCTCCACATTGGAAGATAGATGAAGATGGTTGCTTTAGATTTGTTACAATGATAAATATTGAGAAAGTTTTTCAATTTTAACCTAAAATTTATAATAAACTAAAAATTAAAAATAATTCAAATGTTTAGTAATTTTATATATTCTGTTCCTATATCTAAAATAACTAAACATCATATATACACACATTTTAATAGACATGTTTACTATTACCAAATACAATACACATCACATCTATCAGTGTCCAAGTCTACTGTTACCAAATCCAGTACATCGTTATTTTGTAAGTCACGCATAACAGCATTCCAAAGAGTGATGCATGTCCACCGAAAGCCAATAATCCAGTGCTGACACTTTCCAATAGGAGGAGACATTGCAGTGTGTTCCTGTAAACTGTTCCACATTGTTTTGGGTATAAAACTAGGAATGAAACGACTGGATCATGGTTATCATTTGCAAGTCGTCATAAATCTTCTGATCTTGTTCTTATTGTGAAGATATTTTATCTTTCGTTTTATCGTTCTTGCCAAGATAATCTCTCTGTTTCTAGTTTTAAGTTACGCTAACTTCATTCATTTCAATTGCACGTTATTAAAATTAATTTAATTATAATTTGTTGAAAATGTGTATTTTTATTAAAAAATTATAAAAAATGCTTTCTTGACTACAATGCACCGAGTGTTTACCTTCTAATTATCTACGCTTTCAAAATAATTGATTGTAGCAATAATTGGTCTCATTTGCAAAATCACTTTCACATCCATGGTAATTTATTCTACGTTGAAGAATACTTTTCACAATTATTTTCTTCAATCCTAGATGTTTTTAAAAAAATTTTATTCCATTCTTGAGCACATTGTTTTAAAAAAATACTATTAATAAAAATTATCATATAAAAAATATAAATTTATTGAATATTTACATTTATTTTCAATAACTAAAAATAAGTACAAAGGCTACACATTTATAATGGACACTCCGCTACTGTACCCGTTCTCAACAATTAGAAAAATGGCAAAGCACGAGGACCTCCCTGTCCCAATTTACGAGGCGCTGGACGCAGTGTACGGCGAAGGGTCTCAGCTGGAAGTAGAACGGCGTCGTTACGATGGCTTGCGGTGCAAATTTGCGGAGCTGTTCGGTCACCCTCCCGAGGTGATTGGTCGGTCACCGGGAAGAGTGAACTTGATCGGTGAGCATATCGACTACGAGGGCTATTCCGTCTTGCCTATGGCCATTCGCCAAGACACCATCGTTGCCCTTCGCAAAGTCCCAAACCAAAACATTCTAAGGATTGCTAACACCAACCATCACAAATATCCCATGTGCACTTATCCTGCTGATCCTAATCAGGTTTAGCATGCTAATAAAATATGATTTTATTGTTATTTTATTATTCCTTATAAATATAGGTTAATCTGATTTTTGTTTCTAATTCTTTTTATTAAATTGTTTAATATTGACATAATATGTATTTAATATGTCACATTAATATTAATTATTATTATTAGTAGTAAACGGCAGTATGGATCTTTTTAAATTTTTAAAAATTTGTGAGAATGAAAATTAATAAGGAAGCCTTAATTGGGACTATTCCATCCCCCCTTTTTTTTTTCTTCATAATATTTGGAGCTAGCTTTTGATGTTCTTGTAGGTATTGGACTTGAAGAATCACGAATGGGGCCATTATTTTATTTGTGGGTGAGTTACAAGTTGGTTGATAGAATGCAAATTGTTTTTTATTTAGACCCAATTTGGAAGAAGAATAGGTACTTTTGCGTAGTTACATTTCGAGAGCAAAAACATTGGACTGTGATTGGATGAGTTTCTTAAAACAGCTTCTGAAGCCTGTATTAGCTGTTTAGACTTTAGACCCAACTTTTTAAATAACTGAGTGAGATATTAAATTAATCCCTAAAATTATATTTATCAATCAAATTAGTCTTTAAAATTATAAAAAAGTTACTTTAATCTCTATAATTTCCAAAAGACAATTATTTATTCCCTAAATTACAAAATAATAACAAAAAATGACCAATGTTTGCTAATTTGATATTTTATGGAATTAGTTGATGGGTAATTATTATTTCAGAAACTAATTTGGTGTATTACTTGACTAACAAGCCTTTTCCAAACCTAAAAATTAGCTTAGGATTGGATATTTTTCTATCTGCCTAAAAGGTTAATAGATTGCTGAAATTTAATTTTTGCATGGTCATTTCTCGAGTGTTATCCAAATGCTAGACAGCTTGTTTTAGACTGGACATATGACAGTACACTTATATATTAATAAGCTTTATTCAAATAATAACTATTTTAGTGTCTTAACCAAACAGGGTCTGACACACTAAATGTTAAGTGCTTGGTGTAATTCTCTAAATTAAATAAAAAATGCTTATAACTTACTTTAATAATATATGTCTTTTGTGGATTGCAAAGCAAAATGATATGTTACAGCAATGACCATGAGTGATCAATGTTGACCGTCATCTTTTGTACACGATTTTTCAGTGATACTTACTAGAAAAATGTTTTGCTTTTTCTGTAATTTCTTATAACATTGACAGTATGTCATTTCAGGTACAAAGGATTTTATGACTACGTAAAATTGAAAGGATTGGATGTTGGTCAACCAGTTGGGCTTGATGTTCTTGTTGATGGAACAGTTCTGACTGGTGTGTTTGGCTAACTGACCAAACTTGGTTGATGATTACACTATCTTTGATACTTTGTCAGAGATGATAGAACCGTGTCTTTTATTTGTTAATGGAGTAAAATCCCAATGAACAATATTTGCTTTTTATGAAGGGTCGGGACTATCAAGCTCTACCGCTTTTGTTTGTTCTTCAACAATTGCTGTTATGGCCGCTTTTGGTTTGAACTTCCCTAAGGTATTCCCTCTATGCTGGAATGTACTATGTAGTTTGTTTTAAATAACATGAATGGAAACGGCATGGTCAATCAGGCTAAATTGTGACATTATGAAATGTTTTTGATTTAATCCTGGAGATAATTGTTTTTCAAGTATTTTAGTTGGATATCTCTCATATATGACAGTGCCAATGAATTTTGACGTGATCAGCATTCAGCTAACACACATGACACATGAACTTTTTACTTGTAAGCCAATATTATATCTTAATCTTATATTAGCATCACCACTGATAGGATCATATTACTGAAATTTCATTTGTTTTTCATTTAACGATCTCTATTTTAAACTATCTGTGACAGTTGAAATTAATGTTTTCAACACAAGTTAAATATCTAATGCTTTATGTAATTGTCAAATTTAGTTTTGTCAATAGCCTGTCCATTATCTGAGATGCAAATACCTTTTGCATGAAGTGATTACAAATGAGCACAGGGTTATTGGATGCCTTTTATTATTTTCTTTAAATTATTTACATTTCATGTTCTTGTATTCATATGTTGTTGGGTGTTTACAGAAAGAAATTGCAGAACTTACGTGTGAATGTGAAAGATATATTGGAACACAATCTGGAGGAATGGATCAGGTTGTACAGATCTTTATTTTCAGAAATGTTCTATTGTAATATGATAAAAAATTGTCTAAATAAACTGTCCTGGCATGGATTTTCATCCCAATCACAACGATGACAGTGGTAACTGCTTTTATATTAGCTTTTTGCAAATTGGCACACATTGACTTGATAATTTTTAACTAACAGATAACGTATTATTCGGAGTAAAGCTATGATAAGGAGATTCGACTTAGGCTTTGCTTTCTGTTTATTATCATAATGAAGTGTGTATTTTGAATGTATTTGTAGTTTTACCGATCTGTTATTCAGAGTAAAGCTATGATAAGGAGATTCAACTTAGGCTTTGCTTTCTGTTTATTATCATAATGAAGTGTGTTTTGAAACATAAGCTCTTAAGAAGAATATCGAATACTTTTTAGAACCAATCTTTAGATAGTAACATATTAAGTTGTATTTATGTTAATTTTTTATTTCATTAATTTCTTCGCTGTTTACTAACAAGTCCTTTATATCAGAACTGAATTTGAAAATTTTTATAGGCTTCAAATCACAGTTGAAGGCTGTTACATTACTCTGCTTCCATCCAGTGTTTATGATAGCTTTTCTTAAAAATAGATTTAAATGGTTTTGAATTTCATATTATTTTATCTATTTTGTACTTTAGATAAGCCTGCAAAATATATATCTTGCACTTTGAACTTCTGACCTTGTATCAAGACTTGTATTATTCTCCTGTTTTTTCATAGGCAATCTCTGTCATGGCCAAAGCTGGGTGTGCTGAGCTGATTGATTTTAACCCTATCCGTGCATCAGATGTCCAACTTCCAGCTGCTGGGACATTTGTGATAGCTCATTCTTTGGCCGAGTCTCAAAAGGCTGTCACTGCCGCTACAAATTATAATAATAGGGTTTTTGAGTGCCATTTGGCATCAGTAAGTACTTTTACACTTAAGATTGTATATTTTTAATTTCAAATACGTATACCCCTTAGCGCAATTTGAACTATGGTGTTGCCACAGATGGAGGCTGAGGGTGGGATGCAGATCCAATCACTTGCTGACCACCTTTCTCTTCTGTTGCATTTACTTGATATACTGCCCCTATTCTGCTACTCTAGGCATTTGATAAAAATAATAACAAAAAAGTAAACATATAGTCCTTTATAAATAAAAAAAAGGAGAAATTAATGTTGGGCTTCATTAATTTGTTCAAATATGTATAGAATAAAATTAATTGATTATACAGAAAACTCATGCTATTCATGTTTGACAATTGTTAAACACGATTCTTAATTCATAATACTTGTTTAACCTATTATACAAGATTATGCATCTAACTTGATGGATAGGTAGACTGGTAGAGTTTGACTTGTTTTTTCGTAGATCATAATTTGAAACTTTTCAGTAGTTATATATGTTATTAAATTTGAAGAACAAAAGTGAAATGTGTTGATTTTAGTTGCTTTTGGTCTATTAATGTTAATGCGGAAAAGGGCAATTATTGTGTGCTGTGTTTGTCTATGTACACCCCGTACTCTTTTGTTTCACAGATCTGCACAAATGCAGTTTTTCATCTATATATTTTATCTTTCAATGTATTATCATAAATTTTTTTAGATTGTTTTGGGTATAAAGCTAGGAATGAAACCACAAGAGGCAAGTTTCAAAGTTAAAACACTCTCTGATGTGGAAGGGCTATGCTCATCATTTGCAAGTAGTCATAAATCTTCTGATCCTGTCCTTGCTGTCAAGGTAATCTACCTTTTGTTGTATCATTCATGTTTTATCTTTTTAAATTTCTAATTTTGTGTTATATTCCCATTCACCATATTGTAATCCTTCCTTGTTTAAATAAAATATCTCCTTTTTCTACAGGAATTTTTGAAAGAAGAACCATACACAGCTGAGGAAATTGAGAAAATTACTGAGGAAAAGCTCACCTCAATTTTTAGCACTAATCCAATTTATTTGAATGTCATAAAAGTTGCCGAGCACTACAAGCTACATCAGGTACTATTTATACATCCTATTAGCTTAGTTACTTTAACCTTAATGGTATAATTAAGTAGCCATGTTAAGTTATAAATATATTGTCTTTTTTGAGCTATCTTCATCAACTTTCGGTTTTAAACAGTATTCATTTTATAATACTGATGTGGTCATGTTTAATACTCTGGATCCAATAATTATCTAGAAGTCATTCTGTAACCTTCTGCAGTTGGAAAATATCCAATTTTTTTCTTTAACTTCTCAATCACATTATGGAAATAATTTCACAGTCGTTGTAAACCTATCATCATTTAGTTTTTACCGTTTATCTGATATTTAATTTCACGCCATAATATTTAGAGAGCTCGCCATGTGTATTCTGAAGCCCAGAGGGTACATGCTTTCAAGGATATTGTATCATCAAAACTAAGGTGAGTGTTTATATTGGTAGCTATACAAATTTATGTATTCTCTTTCAATTTTTTTGTTTAATTATCGTTCAACACTTTTCTGGAATGACTCTGTCTTGCGGCATATACTTAGCCCAAGAAAAGTTTAAAGTATTCGTTGATTGAAGACACAAGCTGACGACAAAATGTTGCCCACATTATCTTATTTGGTGCCTGCTATTTCTATTTTTTTCAACTTGTAGATTGAAGACACAAGCTGATGACAAAATGTTGCCCACAATATCTTGCTTGTGAAATTTTAGTGAAGTTATACGGGTATTAATCTGGTCCCTTTTAAAAATAATTTTTTTTAAAAAATTATATATAATAATTTGATATTTTAAAGAGGTCAAGAAAATAGATAAAAGACTAATTTAAATTTTCAATTTTTAAATATAAAATCAGATTTTGAAATAGTCAAAGTAGTTAGTAGATTTTTAAGAGAATGGATGAGAAAGAAAAAAAACTAATTACTGGTCATTGAAAAATAAGAGAGCCTTTATTAAAATTTAGGATTTTAAAAAATGCCTATAAATAGGAAGCTTAAGTTTTCAAAGACGGAGACTTTTAGGTGAATACTTTTTATTTTTTATGAGGACACTTTGAGAGCACAGAGAGAAAAAGAGAGATAATTCAAGCGAGAGAGCTTAAAAAACGAAGAGAAAGAGGAGATTCAGGAGAGAGAGAGCTTGAGAAACGAAGAGAAAGAGGAAAGAGCTAAAAAGAAATTAATTGAGAGGTAAAAACATAGTCTTATAAATCAATTAGAAAGAACATATCTAAAAGGTTGAAGGAAAAATCTACTAAAAAATTCTGAGTCATCACAGATGAGTTAACAAAAATAGAATTCACTTCTCTTTATCTTTCGGTAAGAATTATTATTTTCTTTTTTTTTTGTTGTTATTTTTTCTTTTACTCATCCTATCTTTATATATTTTCTCTTGTGTCTGTATTAAATTTTTTTCCTTTTGCAAACTCTAGTTTATCTAACCTAAAAACTTTTCCTTTTCTTATAAACCTACAAAATTTCTAATTTTCTTTTTAACTCTAAAATTTTCTTTTTTGCAAATCCTAATTTTTTTTTCTAACATGGAAAATTTGTTCATTTTGTAAAAAAAAAAAAACACTAAAAGCCTAATTGTTTCTACTCCAAAAATCAATCATTTTGCAAAACCCTAAAGAATATGATTTTTTTCTAAAAACATGTTTTCAATGATAAATCCTTTTTTTTTTTTTTCTTCAAAATTAAAAACCTTAATGTTCTTTTAACCTTAAAAGTTCTATTTGCAAACCTTGAAAAAAAGCTAACCTTTTCTAATCTTAAAAAACATCTTTTTGCAAATCTTAAAAACTCATACTTTCTTAATGCTAAAATTATTTTTTTTTCATTTTTTCTACCAAGATATATTATGTTTTTTTTTTTTGTGTTCTAAACAAAACGGATGGATTTATTTCTTAAAAGATAAAAATTAATATTAGAAAATACTTTAAATTCATGCAATGGTTAAACAATTTTGATAGAGTGGTGGATCCATCTTCAACGTTGTTTGGATCGTAAGATTTATTGAGTAGCCATGTGCTAACTTAAATCCTGTGTAGGAGTGGATTTACTTAAGAAATAACAATAAAAAAAAATCAAGTTTTTAACAAAAAAAAGAGAAAGAAAATATTTGAAACTTATCCAAAATACAATTTTCAAAAAAAGTCTAAAATACAATTTTCAAAAAAAGAACTACGTGACAGCTTTGATTCTTTCGTTGCATACGAAAGATACATAGGAGCAGGAACTTGACCCATCAAGTTCAAAAATTTTTCAAATTTTCTTTCAGGTCTAAATTATTTTTTAGAAAGTTTTAAACTAAGAGTAATTCAAAGTAATTCTAAAAAATAAATAAAATTATTGTGTTTATTTTAATAAAAAGTTAAATAAAAAATATCAAAATAAAATGTTTTAAGGTTGTTTTCTCTTATACAAAAATAAAAAAATAGTATTCTATAAATAATCTTTTATCTCAATTCAAATTAATTTTTTTAATTATAATTTTTTAGTTAAAAATAAAAAATATAAAAAAAAATTTAGCTAAAGAAAAATAAAAAAATAAGTTAGATTTTATTTAAATTTATTTAATATGAAAATAAAAAATGAATAATATTTTATAAATAATCCATTTCTTAATTCTAATTAATTTTTTCAGTTCTTTATTTAAAAAAAATATATAAAAATGAATTTTTACTTAAAAAAAAGAAAAAAATCAAGTTAGATCTTATTTAAATTTATTTAAAAAAAATAGCATTTTTATAAATAATTCATTCCTTTAATTCAAATTTTTAATTTTATTTCTTTATAAAAAATATAAAATTAAAACCTAAAAAAAATTGTAAAAATTAGAAATAAGGTTAAAAAATAATGACAAATTTGAAAATAATAAGAAGAATGTTAATGGTTTTCATTTAGAGTGAAATAAATATTTTAAAGTAAAATAATTTTTTCATAATTAATTGGAATAGTAACCGTTTTAATAAATGAACTTCGTACAGTGTTATTACCTTTTCTTCACGTAAATGACTCTTGAGCTTAAATTTAGTTTCGAAGATTTTATTTAAAAAAGTCTTTTTCAATGTTTTCTTAAATAAGCTTTAGTAGTGACTCCTTTTATCACCGTCCCGTTGTGACCCCGGTTGCGACAGATGACAACTCCACTAGGGACATGATTGAGAGTCAAGCTTAACCTAATTGATTGTGCAATATTTTTAACTTTTTTTTATATTTATTTCACTCCTCAGTTTGTTTGTATATTCCTTTTATTTTATTTATTGTTTAGTTTATTTTTGTAAATATTTTGTTACTATTATTTCTCTTGCTATATTGTGAATCTTAAGATAAATAACTCTTGTATATTTTTTGAATTTGTTAGTCCGTGTTAGATGGATAGTTAATAGGGTAAAGACTTGTATGCTTCATGCACACACATCACTAACACTTACCTTACACACATTTGGGCTTTATACTTGAGCCTGTGCGAGCCTAGGAGTAGAAGGTGCCTTGACAACTACTATTGAGGGGCTTTATGCCCACTTGGTAGTTGTTGAGCTACTACTCAGATTATTACTAGTACATTGACTTACTCATAAAGAGAGGGGAAAGATAGCATGAGGAAGGGAAATCGTATGTCACAAGAGTGAAGTGAGGTTTGGAACGCTATTGCGAGAGGAACGCCTCGCGAGCCAGGCTTTTAGAGATAAGGCCTTTTGGTGAAGCCAAGTCAATTTCGGGCTACCAAACCCTGCAATTGATGAGAAGGCCTATGGAGTGGAGTAAAGGAAAGCGTGTACATTGTCACACTCCCTGCCTTTAAAAAGTGCCTAGAGGACAGGCCATAAGATGTAAGTGATGACCTGGGAATGGATTCCCCACCGACTGGGAGACAAGAGACGGCCATCTCGAGGCACATCACAACCTACAATCAGCAAGACCTGGGAAGGCTACCCGATTGGGAGTTAAAGGATCCATAGTAGTTGCAGCCCAGTAAACTTCATCTTCATCATTTTTTAAAGTGGGGGAAGGGATCTCCTTTCTATAACAGAAAAAGAGGGACCTGATTTGACTTGGCATAACCTAATGATGCATCCAATACTAATGATATTACCCTATGGCCATGTGAAAGTGCATCAACACTTCCAAGGGAGTAATTTGAATAATTCTCTTAGCTCGTCCACATGATTACCATAGTTAAATAAAGAGACTTCAATCCAGCTCCCTCCACCTATGAATGTTGGTGACTTCTGTTTCAATTGAACTAGTGACAATTAGGTGCACCTATTGGACCTGAGGGACCAGGATAGCAACTCTTCACTTTACCTCACAATGTCATTTCTTTTGATTTGACTGGCTTAGTATTGAACTACGAAGTCACATACTAACAAGTGTTCTAATCTTTGCAAAAGAAGAATTTTATTATTTGATAATTAAGATTTTGGAATTCATTTTATTAAATAAATAATATTTCTTTTTGAAGTGAAATATTATTATATTCTTTGCTAGTACCAAGAACATTAATAATAAGAAAACAACATAATATAGTTTGTTGTTTGATAACATATTAAAATGTAATTGTTGAAAGTACATTTGTTGGTTCAAGCAATTGACTTAGTTAACGAGTTATTGACAAAATGAGGAAAAACAAACTAACAACAATAAAATAATGAAACAAATATACTAGGGTCGATAAACCGTCACCAAGGGTTGGTAAAACAGTTGTCAATGGTTGGTAAAACTACTACAAATATATTACTATATATTTTAAGTAAAGTGCAAAATGTTACGCTGTTAGAAAAATAAAAAGGAATCAATAGAGTTCTTTTCCTCTCATTATATTTTGCTGCTAATGATTGTTTCATAGTCAAAGAGTTAACGCAAGAGGACTAATCTCGATGTGGATACACATGGAGTCTTCACACTGTTGAAGAAATTTTATGACTCGATAGATCATCAATAGGTGCACATTATAAAGTTTTTCATTTGATCAGGTATATTTTGGTACAAAATAAATTCTCCTTTTCCGCTGTCGGTGTTACGAACACCAATTTCACACTATAGTTTACACCCAAGGAAGACAATGACATGATTGATATCCATCCAGTTTAGACACCTCCTTAGAATCTAGATAATGATGTTTAGAATGATGTGCAATATGATGGTGACCAACAACTTGAAGATGGGGTAAATAATTCTGTTAATGATGATGATGGTGAAGAGGAAAATGAGATGTCACAGGATGAAAATCTTGGTGATGTTCTTGAATCACCTCAAGTTTAACACAAGAAATCCACGAGTATGTGATGCTTATAGATGGAGGAGAACCTAAGTACTTTGAAGAAGCCATGGAGAGTGATGAAAAGCAAAAGTGGCTAGATGCAATGAAGGAGGAGATGAAGTTCCTACATGATAATCATACTTTTGATTTGGTGAAGTTACCTAAGGG